AGAATTAGAAAAAATGTGAAAATTGCTGCTAATGTAGTAGACGGCCACTACAAATTTACTATAAAAAGAACAAAAGACCTAGGTCTACATGTTTCATAATTTACCAACAGACCCTCTTCTATTTACAAAACGAATTTGGCGAAAATAATTTTTGTATTCTTGCTTCTTGTAGCCAATCACAGAGGCTCATTTGCAACATTGTATGTGCTGTCATTGCTCACATCCTATAAATAAGATAGCAACAGACGGCTGGGATCTGTGTCGGCCTGTGTTCTTCACCAAGAACCGAGAAGGCTCGGAGGTTGTGACTACGTGTCTATCCCATTCTTAATCCCACAACTCTTTAGAGGAGAAGAGAAGAAAGCAGTCAGACTCGTGAGAAAGTGCACTCGGGGGTAACCTGTGGGTGGTGGTTCTGAGGAACCACAGGAAAGAGTTCACTGTGTCCTTGAGCAGCTGTGGTTGATCTCCCTAAGAGAAGAAAGGACTGATGCCTGTCCGCCATTTCTCCAATCTGTCGGTGGTGTGAAGGCCCCTTGCTCACTTCACATCCAGATTCCACTCTTCTCGGTGTTGCCACGCCGCAGGCACCTGAGTTCTGCACCGGTCCCACCCCTGACACAGCTGAGGTCACTGGGCGCAGAGCAGCTTGTAGAGGCCGGTCCCAAGGATAGTCAGGGGCTGCAAGGGTTGAGGGGGCCCAGCAGCTGTTTTCAGCGTGTCTTGCTTTATATTGCTTAGTGTTCTCAAAAATTCATCTGCGTGGGTTGCTCTTCGGGATGGGGTGTTGTGTTCACACACCTGACAGCGGAAAATGCACCCCCAGGAAGGGCAGTGCGTGCTACATCCGCAGGGAACCAGAGGACAGCAGAGCCCACAGGTGCGAGCAAAGGCGAGGCTCGGGTCCAGGTGGCTCCCGGTGGACGGTGCTGTCACAGCCAAACCACCTATAAGACACGGTCGCCCACCCTCTTAACATGGCCTCCAACGTCCAAAAGGGTTAGCAGCTAATGTGGCTTTATTCCCAGAAAATGGATGCCTTTAAGACCAAACAAAGAGGCCACTCATTCCCCACCCCCTCTTCCCAAACAGGCCAACCCCATGAACCCCCCTCCCACCCCGAAACAGTTGATAACTTATGAGGTTAAATGCTGGACATTTTTAAAATTAAATATGTTACAAATATATTCTCAAACACTCTGTCATCTCAGTTCCTTTTTTTTTTTTCCTTTTTGTCCTGGCTTTGTTTGGTCTTGAAAAGGTCCATCACTCCTAATGAAACTCCTTCGGCTCCCAGCAAACACTTTTCACCAAAGTTGAGGGAGAGAAGAGTCCTGAGGCTCCACTTCGGGTGCTAGAAGCTCCTGTCATGGGTACCTTCTCCCGGTCAACGAGGGAGAAAGGAAGCGGAGTTGTGCCCATGCCCTTGGGAAGAGCAGACCCTCCCCGAGCTGACCCCAAAGCGCCAACCCAGCGTGACTCCTCAGCACACGCGCACGCACACGCACACACACACACATGCCGCCTGTGTCTAATCTGGACACACACACACAAGCGTGCACACATGTGAGCACACACCAGCCCGCAGACTCATTTCCTGAAAGCAGCAGCTATTGGTCAACTTGAGGAACTGAATTTGTGAAAAATTATAAAAAGAAAAAAAAAAAATTCCTTCAGCCTAGATGAAAAAACACCTTCTTGAAGCTCAATTGCGTGGAATTCTGCTCGAACAGGCTTTTTCCTTTCAAACGTTTGTTCCACAAACAAGTTTTAGAGTTTATAGTGTAGCTCAGACATCAGCAAAAAAAAAAAAAAAAAGTAAAAATGGGTGCTTTCTTTGCATCTACGAGGAGAAAAAAAATAATAACATCTTGGCTTGACGCCATGATTGCTGGCAAGTCCAGCAGCCAAGGAAACCCCTCCCCCTCCAGGTTCACAGTTAAATCTGCTGACGACGCATCAGATTGGCAATCACACGTGTGTGTTTTAAGTCACACGATGACTACAGATGGGTAGTCGTTATCTCTGAGTTTGGGTTGACACTGTGGCAGAGTCGTCAGAATCCTGAGTATTCCGAAGGCCTTCCCACGAGAGGCGAGCAGAGACAGGGACCCCTCCCCAGCAGGCACCGTTAGGAAGGATTCGACCGCGGCAGGGTCAGAATCCGCCCGTTCTTCTTGCCCCCATTCATGTGGGTGTAGGGCATGTGTTCTTCATAGTTCCGCTTGAGGCTCAGTGAGGACCCGCTGTCCCGGCCCCCGGCCTCATCCCTCTGGGAGTGTGAAGACCGGTCCAGGGGGATGTTCTCCATGTCCTCAAACTCCATCTCCAGCTCCTCACTCTCGGGAGCCTTGTTCTCCTCGCTGTGGAAGAAGGAAACTTCCGGAAAGCTGGGGTGCAGGTCGTCCTTGAGCTGGTCGACGATCTCCAGGAAGGTGGGCCGCATCTTGGGGTTGAACTGCCAGCACATCCGCATGAGGTTGGTGCTGTGGGAGAGAGGGACATGTCAGCGGGCAGGCATGGCACTGGTGCCCAAGAAGGTGCCCCTGCCCCTGCGGCTACCAGCCGCAGACGAGCGTTTGCATCAGACGGTGGCCATGTGTTTGGGCAACCATCAAGGCAGAAATGGCAATTCTACTGGTGCTGAATGTTGTTTTTGCAAAGAAAGCCAAAGGGGCAGTCCCGTACCAAAACCAGGTCAAGAAGGGCTTCTTCTGAGGTTGCCACCTGGTGGACAGTTCATCATTCCATGATGACATTGCTCGTCTTTTTGCCCACTTGGTGCATTTTGTGAGGTTTATTTCCTAGACTCTTGGTAGAATAAGATGGTTACTGCACTCCTCTGCTAACTGAAAGGTTGGCAGTTCAAGTTCACCCAGAGGGGAACAAGCAAGGCCTGGCGATCTAGGTCCCAAACAGTAGTCACTGGAAACCCTATGGAGCCCAGCTTACTCTGTAACACATGGGGCCGTGGTGAGCCAGGGTCAGCCAGATGCCAGCTGACTGGGAGTTTGTGGTTGGCACTAAGGTTAGGGCACTCAGCTGCTAACTGAAAGGCTGGAGGGCAAGTCCACCCAGAGGTGCCTCGGAAGACAGACCTGAGCCATCCATCATTGAAGACCCCATGCAGCACAGGGGGTCGCCATGAGTCAGAGGCGACTTGATGGCAATGGGTTCGGTCTTTGACAACCAGCAACTTTCTGGCTGAAAAGACCACTCAGGGTTGGGGTGCTTAGGACTTGTGTGGATCAGGCTTAGAGCGCCAGCTCCGCCGGCCCCCCGAGGCCCAGTGCTCTCTCTCAGGTGGGCGGTGCAATGGAGCTCAGGCATGGCACCAGTCCTGACACCAAGCGAGCCCACAGCCTCTGCCTGACAGAGACATGCTGGCACGGGCGGTCTCTTCTGCAGACGTACGCTATACAAATCTGCAGTGAACCCCATGGCACAAAAGACCCCAGCCCTGAATCCTCACAGGCCATAGGGGACTTCCGGGGCTGGGAGTGCTCTTGAATGAGAACACTTTGGATGAGGGGTGAGGGGCTGTGCTTTCAAGTGTACCTCTTCCCTTCCGCACTCTAACTTCTAAGGCAAGGCTTGACCAACTCCAGCCCGTGGGCCAAATCCAGCCCCCCGACTGTTTTTGTAAATAAAGTTTTATTGGCACACAGTCACGCTCATTTGTTTCCAGATGGCCTATGGCTGCTTTTGTGCTACAACGACCAAGCTGAGTAGTTGCAACAGAATCTGTATGATCCACAAATATTTCTATTTATAATATGGACCCTTCCTGAAAGCTTGCCAACCCCTACCCTGTTGTTGTTGGGTGCTGCTGAGTCAATTTTGACTCACAGTGGCACTGTAGGACAGAGTAGAACTGCCCCATAGGGTTTCCAGGCTGTAATCTTTATGGAAGCAGATTGCTGGGTCTGTGTTCTGCAGAGCACTGGGTGGGTTGGAACCACAGACCTACACCATATTGGTTTATTAATTTATGTAGCAATTCTCACACTGTTGGATATTTAGGACCCCCCCCCCCTTTTTGGGGGCAACTTTAAATAACATTTTGTGAACAGCTACCACAACCAGGGATAAGAATGGTTACCTAGCCATAACTATAACACTGAATAGTACAGTGATTGTTTCTCTTCCTTTTTGCTAATTTAGAAGTAATTTTATTTTACGTTACATTTATTGGCTTATTACTGATGCTGGTCATTTCTCCCAGTGCCTAATTGCGTGTGTGTATGTGTTGCCCATTTGGCCCTTTAGCAAAGATTGAAAACACAAACTGTATTGGAATACATGTGCACATGCTTGACAAAACTTTAAGTGTGTAAGGAATGGATGGTTCAACATGAGCTTCTCTCCCACCCCAGCTCCCCAGCTCCTTGCTCTTGAGGCAACCACTGTTACAGGTTTTTAAAGACAGGATATGCAACTGTAAATATTCCTGTAAAGATAGGATATGCAAATAAAGCACACAGGCAAAGATAAGATATGCCAATGTGTGCATACCGGTCAAGATAGGATACACAAATGCATACATGTTAAGACATGACATATATATACAAGCATGCATGTAAAGATGGGACATGCAAATATAAACATGCATGAAGACATGGTATGCACCTACACATACATGTAAAGACATGATATGCAAAGACAAGCACACATGAAGATGTGAAATAAAAATACAGGCATATGTATAGAGATAGGCTATGCAAATACAGGCATGCAGGTTAATTAAGATAGGGTATAAAAATACAGCTTACATGTAAAGATAAGCTATGCAAATAAGGAGTGCATATAAAGTAGGATATGCAAATAGAAGCACACATGAGAAGACAGGCTAGGCAAATATACCACGTGTGTAAAGACTGGCTAGGCAAGTGCTGGCATTTGTGTAGAGCGATGGCTCTTCCATGAAGACCCTGCACTCATCACACCCCTTCTGTACTTACACTCTCTCTGGACAGTTGTCAGGTTGATCCAGATACCCCCCATCCATGACAAACTTCAAAACCTGCTCGTTAGACAGGCCCTGGTAAGGCTGCTCCGCCAGGCTAGTGATTTCCCAAAGAACCACACCAAAGGACCTGTGGATGACAGACAAGAGTGGTGACACAGAAGCCACTTAAATGCACCCATACACATGCACACACGTACACAATACATGCACATATATGTACATACACACATGTCCTTTTATACACACATATGCACCCATATTCATGTTCAAATACACCCATACACATGTATCCATTTATACACACATATACACCCACACTCACATTCGAACACACCTATATACATGCACCCATACACATAATGCACCCAAACATATGTACACACACACACATATCCTTTTATACACACATATGCACCACATTCACATTCAAACACACCCAAATACATGCACACATGTACACAATGCACCCCACACACATACACACTCATACACATGCACACCCATACACACATGCATGTACATCCATATACACACATATCCATTTACATATACATATACATCCATATTCACATTCAAACACACCCATATACATGCATACATGTACATAATGCACCCATACACGTACACATGCACAATGTACCCCCACATATGTACACACACATGCACATATCTGTCTATACACACATATGCACCCACATTCACAAACACACTTGTACATACATACACCCATGCACTCATGTACACACATACACCCATCCACTTAACCATATATACACGTCCTTGCATATTCACTCATACACATGCTCATGCATACACACATGCACACATATACCAACACCTCCCACATGTACATACATGCATGCACACACATATACCTATCCCCTTATACACACATACACACCTATTCACACATTCACACCCACAGACACATGCAACCATGTACCCACATGTACAAACACATACAAATGTATACACACATACCCACTCACATACACATACCACACACATCCACACTCATACACCCCCCCCCATACATCTGCAGCCACACACACATATCCACTTAGACACACAGACACATTTGCACGCCCACACATATGCACACCTTCTTGGTTTACAAGAACCTGGTTGGCTGATCGATCAGACAATTTATGCAGCAGGGGACAAAGGCCTGTAAGATAAGTCTCACTTGGAAACAAGGTAGCTGGGCCAGGGTCCTCAGCCAGGTCTGCCCTCATTTTCTGGGTGGAGACATGGAGGCATGGCAGGAGAGGGACCGTAAGGAAGGCAGGCTTGGACTGTCCCCTCTTGTAGGTCATATGAGTACGGCACCTGGAATTCAGACCCAGCCTTCTATCTGCCAACCCACACCTACTCACCACATGTCAGAAGACGTGGTGAAGACGCCATCCTTCAGTGACTCCGGGGCCATCCACCGCACAGGAAGCAGGCCCTTGCCACCTTTCCGGTAGTAATCCGTTTCATAGATGTCTCTGGTCATTCCAAAGTCTGACAACACAGTTCACACGCCCTCAGGAGTCTGCACAATACTGTGCTGCCCAACCCCTGATGGAGCCCTGAGGTGGGCTCACCTGCCCCCAATGTTCTCCACGTACAGAGGACAACTCCCAGTGAGAACGGCTGCTGAGGGTATTCACAGGGATGTGGGGAGAGAGAACGGGCCACCATTGAAGGGACAGAAGAAGAATCACCAAGCGAAAAACAGCAACATCCCGGCCTGCAGCTCAGACTCCCATTCTTAGTGATGCTTCATTCCCATGGCGATTGCATAGGCATCCAAAACCAAACTTGTCACTTTCTCTGGCAAACCCCCTGCTTCCCACAGACCAGAACCCCACCAACTGCCAGCTGCCCAGCCAGAAACCCTTTGACCACCTCCTGTCCCACCCCACACCTCTCCCTGATCCGTCCTCCACATCTGTCCCTGATCTGTGCAGTCCTCTCCATCGTCCTGACCTCACCCAGGTTCCTTCACCCCCTCTCACTTGCAGACCCTCCCCCCGCCATGATCCTCTGACAGTGCATTGTTCAAGAGAAGCTACCGTAAGTAGGATGATGTTACTTCCTGCTTCCCATTGGTTGTGTGGAAATTTCTTTGGGGATCCCAAGTAGAATGACCTTGCTTCCTGCTTTATATTTATGTATGGAAATGTCTTTTGAGATCATACATAGGATCACATCAGTCCATGCTTCCCATTGGCTAAGCAGGATAATGTTTAAATAACTTTTATGACTTGCAAGATCCTTCCAGGTCCAGGTCCTGCCTCTCTCCTTCACCTCGCAGCTCACGTTGCTTTGGTCCTCTCTGTGTTCACTTTATTCACACCACATTAGCCTTCCTTCCAGCCTCCTGCTCTTTGCATGTGCTGTGCCCACCACCTGGCATGCAATCACCCAGGCCAGCTTCCTGTCACCTTGCAAGTCTTCACTAAAATGTTTTCTCCATATGGAGGGGCTTGCTGGGCCACTGAGACCCCTGGGTTTTCTCCATCACAGAACTCTTGATTGATTTCCTTCCAAGCTCTTTCCCTAGTCTTCATGATCTTGTTTACATAATTGTTAACTATTTGATTGTTCACGTAGAACAAAAGGCTCTAATGGAACTTTCCATAATGACACACATGGTCTATAGCCACACTATCCAATATGGTAGCCACCAACCACATGTGGGTCTTGAGTTTTTGCAGTGTGCCCAATGTGACCGAGGAACTGAACATTTAATTTACTTTAGTTGATTTTAATGGCCACATGTGGCCAATGGCTGCTGTTTTGGATGGCATAGGTAGACGGCAATTTGCATGAGTGCAGGAATGTGGTGACTTACTCATTGTTGGATTTTTAGCACCTACTGTAATGTCTTAGGAGCTCTGGTAGTGTAGTGCTTAAGGCACTTGACTGCTAACCAGAAGGCTGGCGGTTCAAACCCACCAGCCACTCCTCGGAAGGAAGGTTGGGCAATCTACTTCTGTAGTGATACCGCCTCAGAAACCCAAGAAGGGGTCTCTATGAGTCAGATCTGACTCCATGGCAGTGGGTTTGGTTTGGTTTACTCACAGAAGATCCACAATAAATAGTTTTTGAAGTAGTGAATGAGTGAGTTAATGAATGAATGCAATTGAATTACTATTTAAAGCCTGAGGCCTCATCCATCATCCTGCCCCTTCTCATTGTTGGAACAACTTTAGTGACCCAATGGTAGAAAAGTTCCTTCTGAAATCAAACTTGAACTTGCTCAGACATTTCCAAGCAGAAAGCAAACCAACCTCCAATTTTGACGGTGAAATCATGGGCCACCATGCAGTTCCGTGCTGCGAGGTCCCGGTGCACAAACTTCTTGGCATTCAGGTACGCCATCCCGTCCGCAATCTCTGCTGCCATCTGAATCATCTCTTGCAGGGTTGGGGGAGGGCGGCCGGGGTTGTCCTAAAGTTGAAACACAGGGTCATGTTCAGCGACACACATGCCGTGGGCCAGGAGCAGGTGCCCTGCCCGGTACTTTAGAGGCGGCTTACCTCAGCTTCTGGCCGCAGTGAGCGGAGATAGCTCTTCAGGTCCCCATGAGCCATCAACTCCATCACCACCAGCGTCGGCTGCCCTTTGGACACCACCCCCAGGAGGCGGACCTGTGGAGCAAGCACTGGGTTTGTGAGGGACTAAATTCTGTCCCCCCAAAATCCTAACCATCATGCGTGCTTGTGGTTATAATACCATTTGGGAAGGGTTCTTTGTGATGTTAATGAGGCAGGGTGAGTGTAGGGCATATCCTGAGCCAACCACCTCTTTTCAGGTATAAAAATCATTACACAAGCAGAGAGATATGGGGTTAGACTGATGCCAAGATACACGGAGATTGCCAAGGAACCTGGAAGGAGAAGCTGAAAAGGCAAGGACCTTCCCCAGAGTGGACAGAGAAAGAAAGCCTTTTCCTTGAGCTGGAATCTGAATTCAGACTTATAGCCTCCTGAACAAGGAGCTCAGGTGGCACAGTGCCTAAGGCATCTGATTGCTAACCAGAAAGTTGGCAGTTCAAACCCACCAGTCACTCCATGGAAAGAAGATGGGGCAATCTACTTCCGTAAAGATGGACCACCTCAGAAACCCAGTGGGGGTTGTTGTGGGTCGGAATCAATTCAGTGGCAATGAGTTTAGCCTCCTAAACTGTGAGAGAATAACTTTCTGTTTGTTAAAGCCATCCCTTGTGGTATTTCTGTTATAGCAGCGCTTGTTGTTGTTGTTTGTGCCGTCAAGTCGGCCCTGACTCATAGCGACCCCTCCTTGGGTTTCCGAGGCAGTATCACTACGGAAGTAGATTGCCCAACCTAAAATAGGGTTCTTTCCCTTCTTTCTTATTTTCCTTCCACTGTGAATTGCCTCGGAAGGAAGGTTGGGCAATTACTTCCGTTGTGATACTGCCTCTGCAACCCAAGGAGGGGTCACTATGAGTTGGGGCTGACTCGACGGCACATAACAACAAAAACAAATTCCTTGCTTATCTTTCTGTTGGATAGTTTTTCATTTCTTTATCCATTGATGTTCTATTTATATATGTTTTATTATAATAATATGTGTATTGTAACACGTTTATTATAATAGTTTTATAATATACAATATTATTTTATTATAATAAAAAACCAAACTCACTGTCGTCGAGTTGACCCCAACTCATAGCGACCCCTCCTTGGGTTTCTGAGGTGGTATCTCTATGGAAGTAGATTGCTCTGTCTTCTTTCTGAGAAGTGGCTGGGTTTGAACTGCCAGCCTTCTGGTAGTTGTTTGATAATAAGTGTAATAAAATTTATTAGAAAAATTCATATACAGAAGTGTGTGTTGCTGTATAGCACTGAGTCAATTCCGACTCACAGTGACCTCATGTGACTGAGTAGAATTGTCCCATAGGGTTTCCTAGGCTGTCATCTCCACAGGAGTAGATTGCTAAGTCTTTTCTTCCATGGAGTTGCTACTAGGTGTGCACAGCCAGCTCTTCAGAGAGCAGCTGAGTGCTTAACCAGTGCGCCACCAGGGCTCTCTATCTCTCTCTATGTGTACATATATAGACATAGACATAGTCGTATGCATATAAATGCTGTCTGGTTTGGGAGACCTGGGTCTGAGTCCCACCAGTGCACTCACGCGCGGCCCCACCTGTCTGTCCGTGGAGGCTCTCATGGTGCTAGGATACTGAGCAGGTTCAGGGAAACTTCCAGGCTAACAGGGACTAAGCAAGAAAGGCCTGGCAATCGACTTTGGAAAATCAGTAACGACAATCGTATGAATCACAATGGTCTGGCTTGTCATGAGTTGCAGCCAACTGAATGGAATCAAACAACAGAGTCTAGGGGAACTGGGAGAGGCTGGGATTGAAGACCAGCCTGTGACCCTTAGGATGCTTGGGGGAGGAGGCTGGGGGAGGGGCATGGGCTGATGCCTCTGGGACCTCAGGGCGAAAACTGGACTCACCACGTGGTGGCAGGTGAAGCCCTTCATGACGGAGGCTTCGTTGAGGAACTCGATCCGCTCACGCAGGCTGGCTGACTCGTTGACTGTCTTCACTGCCACACGGGTCTCTGCTTCACCCTTGACGATATCCCTGGCGTTGCCCTCGTACACCATGCCGAAGGAGCCCTGGCCCAGCTCACGCAGGAGGGTGATCTTCTCGCGGGGCACCTCCCACTCGTCCGGCACATACACAGAGCAGGGAAACACTGTTCCTCACTCATCAAGAAATGTCCTGTGCAGGCCTCTGGGGGCACCCCTCTCCCAGCCCTGGCAGCCCCAACCCGAGCCTGAGCCCCAGTAAACACTCATGGGTGACGCCTGTGATCCAGGCCAAGTGTTGATGGGATGGTTGGAAGAGGTTGGAGTGGAGCCCTAACTGGCCCAGGGTCCTGGCCAAGAGGGGCCGGGCTCAGCCTGAACCCCATTTTTTCTTTCTGCCATAGGTTGGCAGTGGTTTCACAAAGTGCCCAGGGTGTGGGCGAAAGGCTGCAGAGGGCTGAACCAACAGCCACAGGACTTGGCAGCCCCACCCACTGGGCCTGAATCTATTGCCTCACCCCTTAAATCTGGGCATGCTCATATGATTTGCTTTATTTGGCCCATGGGCACTAGTGAGAAGGACTCAAGCAGAGGCCTGGGAAGTGGTTTTGCACTGCGTCTTTGCTTCTCTTGCTGCTGGGAGCCAGCTGAGTACGAAGCAACGATGCCCCAGCTAGCCTGTTGGAGCCTGACCACACTGACCACGTCATGGCCCCAACTGAAGCCCCCAGCCTGCCAGTCGCCAGGCATGTGAGTGAGGCTGTCCTATACCACCCAGCCTCGGGTCATCTGCCAGCCAATGGTGGCCACCTGACTCCCACTGGATGGTGATGGCACTGAGACAGTAGGGGAGGGGATGGCACTTACCGTCGCTGGCACTGAGGTACTCGGGGTTTGAGGATGCATACAGTGGTCCCAGAGGCCCGTCCGGCTGCCTGAATGAGGAAAACGAAAGCACATCTGCTTAAGAGTCCCCGTGAACTCAGAGTGGGTAGTTGGACCTGTAAGCTCGGGACCGTAGTCGCAAGAGACATCAAGCTCAATTGGCATACACAAAAACATTGTTCCACCTCCTACTTTGGCAAGTAGCTACTGGGATCTTAAAAGCTTGCAAGCAGCCATCTAGATGCAACAATGGGTCTCTCTTCGCCTAGAGCAAAGAAGAATGAAGAAAACCAAAGATGCTTGGAAAGAATTAGTCCAAGCAACTGGTACACCATGCGATCCTCAGCCTGTGCGACTATGAGACCCGAAGAACTAGATGGTGCCTGGCTACCACTGTCAACCGCTCAGAGGGGGATCTATGTAGGAGATCCCGGATAGAGAGGGAGAACAATGTGGAACAAAACTCAGAATAATTAAAAAAAAAAAAAGGGACCAAGTTTGCTGGTCTGATAGAGCCTGATGGAACCACTGAGACTATGGCCCCTGGCTGCCCTTCGGATCTGGAACTGAACCCACTCCTGGGGCTTCCAGGCATTTGAGCTGAACATTTACATTAGATAGATACACTCCTTCGAGAGATCAATCATGGGAGAAAGAAGGGCAGTGTTTGCACAGGGAGACAGCTAAGGGGGCGGGAGTGCATGGGAGGGAAGGACACAGGGAAGAGGTTAACTATGGGGAGGAAGTGGGAGGGAAGCTGTTGCATTGTGGGAAATTGCAGTCAATGTCATGAGATAAAGTGATAAAATGTATGTGAG